TATCGTATGTTAAAATATACGCGAGCAATAGTTTACATTTTGAGATCATTTCGGCTTATTTTTGCTTAAGAAATGAATACAATGAGGACAAATTTAATGGTCACATGCAGTGCTCAGAACGCAGGAAATGGCATTTCCGGGCTTCAAATTTCAAAATTTGGCATGCCCCCGGACCCTCCTAGCTATGCGAGGTCTTGGAAAATGCTACGGTCATATTTTTGGCTATATCCGCCCCTGTAACTCTCTTATTGTTTTACAATGTCAATGTAATGTGTACCAGGTACTAAGGTAGGACTTAATTTGGGACTCCTCAGTCCGGTTGTATGTACCTTCATTCGTTTTGTTGATTGCAAATTTTATAAATTTTGGTGGGGTTGGGTGCAATTGCCCCTTCCGCCCACCTTTATGTAAAAGAAAGTTTTGTTGGAAATGCAAGATGCCACTTGACCCCACCCAAAAAATTGAGTTTATGCCACTGCTGTTTTTTATAAACATATCTTTGATTTTTCAAGTATCAATGCGCCCTGATGCGCCCTACTTTAGTATTTTACTCTGTCTAGTTCCACACGATATTGCTCGTCAAGTAGAACGTGCCGCCACTCAATGGGTTGAACTTTTAATTCATATTTAAATACGCCAATATTCCGGTCTGGTACTTCTTTGTTTTCAGCCACGTGGCTACGTAAGTACGCGGAAATCTTGCTACCTGCGTGATAATTGTGGATAATTGTGGAATTGGGCTCAAAGATAAGTTGCAAAAATACCAAAATCGCGCTGCAAGAGTAATTACTGGGGCAACTTACGATATTCGGTCATCTGAGTTACTCAATAATCTAAATTGGAAACCTCTAGAAGAAAGACGAAATTATCTTAAATCTACTTTCGTCTATAAAATTTTGAATGGCCACACCGCACCCAATCTTAAAGAAGCATTTCATTTTAATAATGAAAGACATAATACTTACAATCTTAGAAATAGGGATACTGATTTAGCACCACCTATGCCGAAAAAAGAATTCGGCAAGAGGTGATTCAGTTATAATGGTGCCTTGCATTGGAATAATCTTCCCCATGAGGCAAAAATTGCTGAACCCCTAAGCTCTTTCAAGTCGATATTGAAACAAAGAATGAGTTGAAACTTGCTTGTGTGTAATCGTGCAGCTAAAATCACTTGTATTTTTTTACTTTGTTATATTTTGTATTTCCTGTATATAGTTAACTTCTTGTAAATAGGTAATTTCACGCCCCTCATGGAAACCAGCCTTCCAACGGCTGTTGAGGCTAGCGTGGTTTAAATAAAGTTTTGTATGTATGTATGTACTTACAGTATCTTTTGCCGGTATCGTGTGACCTTTTGAAGCCTAAGGTATTCAAAACCGTCTGACGTGACTTGGCATGATATATGATTGGACTGATGGAGCTAATGAATGTTCGAGTCGATTGAAGTGTTTGTCCGTATATGCAATTGTGTTTCTTGTAATGACTCATAGTTTCAATACAGAAACTTGTACTTTATGTACTTCATTTAGAGACTAAGTACCCCCTTCAGTCTTAAGTTTCAAGTGCGATAATTCAAGATTTTTAGTTGTACCTGACTGGTACGCCAATGGTTATTGCCGCTTGCTCGTTCTTATAAGCACGCATTGAGTACTGAGTATCTTTAAAATAGGCTGATGCGATATTGAAAAAAATCGATATTGATATATCAACCCTCGAAATTCAACTATTTTTGCCTCGGCAAATAATTGCCGAGGACTTTCGATAATTTTCGAGTTTGCCTCGGCAATTTTTTTTGCCGAGGCACGCAATGAAATTACCTTAAATTCCTTCGGCAATTACTTCGGCACCCTTCGGCATTCACGTCGGCAGTTGCATGTAATTAAAGTAACGTACTGTACATACGGAAAGTATTGTAAACAAATATTATAACGAGCGTAGATTCTGACGTTTGACAATTTGTTGTTATTTTACAAATTCCTGATTCAAAATGTTTTTAAAAAGTTAGTGGTAATTAACAACAAATTGTATGAAAGAATAAACTTGACGGTATTCATGCGACAGTCTAAAAATAAAACAAAGTTTCTGGATGTGCCGTCTTTAAACCATCAAGTTTGTTCTTTATTTCAACCGAAGCCGACGCTGAAAAGCTCAAATTTAAATATTTTGTAAAGTAGCTATGAATGAAATCTTCTGTTGTTCACCCGACGTCGATGACAAGAAATCGAACAAAGAAGTGATACAAAAAACGAACACTGTAGGTTGTAAATTTAAGCAAAAAAACGAACAGACGCTGTAGTTTGTAACTCAAGGTACATGTATAACGGTTGGAATTGCCTCGGCAGTTTTTTGCCGAGGCAAACTATGAAAAATCGTAACTTGCCTCGGCATTTCCCTCGGCAATTGCCGAGTGCCGAGGCGAATTTCGAGGGTTGTATATGCATGTATACCGCATCACAAACAGCAAAAAGCAAAGTTAAACAAAGGGTCATCATTTTTCTTGAAGTAATTCCAAACAGGGCTTCGTTGATTCGACATATTGTCTGGACTTTCCTTCCCAACAGAACAGTGAGTTAGAGAGTTAGAGAATGAGCTGTGATATTTTGACATTTTGTTTTTTAAACGAGCGCCGATACATGCCATTAAGATTATTATTCAAAGTGCTGCAGATTCCATCTTTATGAGTCATCACACAGTTATTATTTTCAAACGGTGATTTTCTTTGATCACACTTGCATGTACTTGGAAACAATAAGTTGCTACTTGAGTTCGCAATGGACCAATCCCATATTAATCAAAATTTTGAACTCAACAAGTCTAGACAAAATTTTCATCACAGCTTGAAAGAGCATCACAAAATTAGCATGCAATATTCTCAGTAAAGTTTCGTTGCGAAATGTTGTAAAATGCGGATAATATAGCCTTGCGAAATTTGCAATTTTTTCAGTCATTTTGTATTACAAACGGGAAATGGTTACCTCTTCCGTACGTAATACTTCGCAAGGCTATATTATCCGCATTTTACAACATTTCGCAACGAAACTTTGCAATATTACTAATTTTGTGATGCTCTTTCATGCTGTGATGGAATTTTGTCTAGACTTGTTGAGATCACATTTTTGGTTAATTGGGGATTGGTCCATTGCTGTTGTACACGTATTTTGTAAACTTTACGTACCGGACAATAATTGCGAAAAAAAATATTCACCGAAAATATCGATAAATCGCATCAGCTTGTGCTTCAAAATAAGAAAGTTGTTATTTGTCCGGTCATGGAAACCATGCAACGAGCTTTGGCCATTTGTCTCGCAGTTCGATACGCGCATCTAGCGCGTACAAGGCGAGTGCCTTAACCCACTCAGGTACCGAGGACTTGCTTGGAAATTAATGAAATTTACTTGACGTCATTCAGCAATCTGACAGAACGAAGAAATGAACCAATTAAATTAATTCACGGACAAATAGCCAAAGCTCGTTGGTCTCCGTGACCGGAAATTAAAACAACCACTTCCTTAAAATGAAGTAGATAAAGTAACGTTTCTGAGATGTATATTCAAACTACGAGTTAGAAAAAGAGGCTGTACAATTGCATACATATACAAACAAACGACTCCAACGTGCCATATAAGTCCAATCATGTTTCATGCGAAGATGTATCAAACTTACACATACACTGTACTGTAATTATACCGACTAAATTACGGTATTGAATATCTTGGGCTTGGGAAGGTCGTATGATGTCAGCACAGCAAAAAATCATTTTCTTATTTTAAGAAAAAAACAACTTGTTTTAAGAAAATTTTCTTGAAATAAGAAAATATTTTCTTGGGAGAATAACAAGAAAATTTTCTTAATAAGAAAATTTTCTTAAGAAAATTTTTCTTATTAAGAAAAGTTTCTTGAGAGAAAATTCTTAAATTGAGAAAATATTTTCTTATTTTAAGAAAATATTTTCTCAAATCAAGAATTTTTTTTTCTTAATAAGAAAATTTTCTTGTTATTCTCCCAAGAAAAAAAATTCTTGAAATAAGAAAATTTTCTTAAAATAAGAAAATAATTTCTTATTTTAAGAAAGTAATTTCTCAAAACAAGAAATTTTTCTTAAAAAGAATTTTCTTATTAAGAAAATTTTCTTGTTATTCTCCCAAGAAAAAAAATTCTTGAAATAAGAAAATTTTCTTAAAATAAGAAAATAATTTCTTATTTTAAGAAAATAATTTCTCAAATCAAGATATTTTTCTTAAAAAGAATTTTCTTATTAAGAATGTGTTGTTTGGGTGTTTATATGTACAGGTACTCAGGTGAATATTGTTTTTGATGTTATTCTGAGTGTATATGTAGTTAGCAGAGCATTGGACTAGTATCCCAAAGGTTGCGGGTTCGATTCCCACCATGGTCAGGCTAACTTTTTAGCCTGCCCGGTGTGTATATACACTCAGAGTAACATACAAAACATCAAATTATTGTCAATTTATACAAGTTCTTTTTTCAGCCACTGTTACACAACTAGGTGTAGTTCTCTTTGCTAGCAAAGAGCAAGTATACTGTACATAGGCAGATAGCAAGAGTTCCGCGTTGAAAACAAAGAAGTACCATCCCGAGATATATTGGCGTACCTCCGGTACGTACAGTATATATTACGCTAATCATCACACCCTGAAGTTTGTATCAGCTCAAACGACTAAAAATGTTGAATTATCGCATCATGGACTCTACTTCTCTAAACAGTTCGTGTTTTTCTCCAATAAATAAGTAAACTTCTATCTAACATACTTTGTATAATCTACTTTTTTATGTTTCATTCAAATTGGAACAGAACTTTTACGGTAAGCATATTATTATTTCTATTGATTGACCAGACCTGGGGAAATGTATGTGGGATCTCACCTTATCAAGAAAATTGAGGAACAGTTTGAATTTTTCACACATATATTATCGTAAGGAATCATATCATGCTTCATTATCTGTTATTTGAAACTGTGACTTGTTCTTCAATGTTCAAATTTATCGTAATCGGTGTACGGTCAAATTTTTCAATTGTTTTTACGCACGTTTGCGGAACAGTTAATTTATTAGACCTTTCCCCTTATAACCAAAATTTTGATCTAGGCAAGTCTAGACAAATATTTCATCACAGCTTGAAAGAGCATCACAAAATTAGTAATATTCCAAAGTTTCGTTGCGAAATGTTGTAAAATGAGGAAAATAGAGCTTTGCGAAGTTTGCAATTTTCAGTCATTTTGCATTACAAACGGGAAATTGCAGCCCCAACACCCGAATCGGATGTCAATTTCCCGTTTGTAATACAAAATGACTGATTCAATTCAACTTCGCAAGGCTATATTATCCGCATTTTACAAGATTTTGCAACAAAACTTTAGAATATTACTAATTTTGTGATGCTCTTTCAAGCTGTGGTGAAATTTTTGTCTAGATCGAAATTTTAGTTATAAGGGGAAAGGTCCATTGAAAAAGGCAAATTCAGTATCCGAGGAATATTAAACACTTTTTCCAAATCTGTGAACGACGACATATTCAGAGGCCGCGGAAGCATTTCGAAAGTGGAGGGGCATTGACCGAAAGGGGCACTTTTGTATATGACCAGAATCAAACGATTTTATGACGTTCACGAGCCGAACGAAAATTTTTGAAAATATGGAGTCTCTCTAACGTCGGAAATGGCCTTTACAGAGTCTTTACTACTGCGAAAAGGGCATTTTCTTTCCAGAAAAAGAGGGCGTTTATTCAAGAAATACTTTTTTCGTTTTTTAAATGAGGCATTTTAGCCCAGAAAAAGGGGCACTTTTTTCACTTTTAAGAAAAGTGGGGGGGCACATGCCCCCATTGCCCCCCCGGTTCCGCGGCCCCTGGACATATTGAAACCTTACAAACATTTGCTCTGCTAGTCTATACATCTCAGCCAATCACGAGATCATCTGGTGGACATCTTAGACCCGTTTCAGACGGCATACCTTTCATGTGCCGAACGTAATTGACGAATTAGTTAAGTACGGTAGAATTTGGAGCGAGAAAAGTTCGACACGTCGCATCATGCGACGTTGGAACGACATTAGAGACCTTACGATTTTAGGACGGCAACGCGACGACGACGGCCAAAACAAGCTCCTTCAAATAAATGGTAGTGAAGATAGTTCGTGGTATATTGTCAATCGTATGAATTTAATATAGTTGGGAAGAGTTCTGCTAAACCCAGTTTGAAGTTGCACTTGTTGCGGCTTGGAATACAGCCGTTGTATCAAGACGTGAAAATCTGTGATTTGGCGTTGTAAACAGAGCGAGGACAATGTCTAAATTATTCATACAGTATATTGTAATTACTCAATTCTTTTCAATGATCTATTGTATTGGTAGCCGTTGCCGTCCTAAAATCGTAAGGTCTCTATTGATTCATACGCCGCTCCACTCTGACAGTGGCGTAGTTAGCGGTCCCGCTGTCCCGCCGGGTGAGACTAACAATTTCAAAAAAAATGTGTAAATGTTTTATAGTGAAGCCAAAATCACTGCTAATTTGCTTATTCTGAAAATTTAAATATAATTATGGTAATTTTTCAGCGCTTTCATTTGTCATTTATTTAAAGTTTACGCAATATTGCTGTCTGCTCTTTGACCTCTTTGTTGTCTAGTATTAACTGATACCCTGTAGAATTAGCTAATTTCCACGCAATTTATTGCTTACTCGCGCTATTCGTGAATCGCATGTCTCGTGTTCCGCTGATTTTCATGTGGCGGGATACGCAATACTATCTTATACAAGAAATTCTGGTTTCTGGTTGGATAATTGGCGCAGCGCATGCCCAGAACGGTTGTTTTTAATGCCGAAGTCCCGCTATTTTATGAAGGCGGAGGTTGTTAATATTCAAACCTTTCTGCCGAAGCTTTCTGCGCGAGTATTCACGACTGTGACGGTGGTAGGTCATCATATTACTATTCATATCATATTTGATGTTGCTTTTGTGATTTGTATACAGTGGCTTCAACGAGCGTGACGAGCCTTATGGAAAGCCACAGCGGAATTTCATTTCATTCGTTGCTTTTAGCATTATATATGTGGTGCTTTTATCGTTATACGAGGTGCTCTTTACATTATACGCGGTGCTACACTTCGAGTTCGAGCATTATACGCGACGATTTTGACATATATCAAGATATATGGGCTACACGCAACATTGTACGAGGTGCTTTTAACATTATACGTGGTGCTTGAGACATTTATTTAATAATATACGCGGTGTTTGAGACATACGAGGTGCTTTTAGCATTATACGCGGTGCTTGAGACATTATACGCGGTCGGTATAACGTTATACGCAGTACTCAGTGCAGAAGGCAATATTTTTGCCTAGCACAGCACTTCTCTGAGCTCACACAGATCTTCTCTGGGCCAGATGGCATTTTTTGTATTTTACGAAGCGAAAATACTCCTGTTAGAGGTGTATGGAAACTTTGTTTAGTGGCATCCTTCCACCCTCGAAATCGCAGGAAATGCCATTTCCGCGGTTCTAGATTTCAAATTTTCTCGGGGGGGTATGCCCCCGAACCCCTCTAGGAAGGTCGCACCTTCGGTGCGAGGGGTCCGCCTTCGGCGGGACGATTTTTTTCAGCCAGCTACGCCACTGTCCACTCATGTGCCAAAACTCAACTTTTTAAAATTTATTTTATATAGTATTATATTATTTTTTATTACTTTTTTTATTATTTTTTTATTATGCAGTAATAAATTTACGTGGTGTTTCCACAAACAAGAAGTATTATATGTTTTATCGCCATACAATCCTGCGAAGAACTTAGTATTAGATTAGCTTTCTTCTAGCTTAAAAATTGACATTTTTTTAAAAATTTTATCTACTATATAGGATTCGCTCGCGAATGCGCCCCAACCTTGTCAATAACATATATTTTAGAATTTTATTTTCTGTGTTGGTGTAATGTACTCAGGTGAATATGATGATTGTGATGTTACTCTGAGTTTATATCCACACCGGGCAAGCTTGAAAAATATGCCTGGCCACGGTGGGAATCGAACCTACGACCTTTAGAATACTAGCCCAATCCTCTGCCAACTGAGCTACGCGGTCAGGTCGGTTCGAGTATGTGATATTTATAACCGAACCGACCTGACCGCGTAGCTTAGTTGGCAGAGCATTGGGCTAGTATTCCAAAGGTCGTAGGTTCGATTCTCACCGTGGACAGGCATATTTTTCAAGTTTGCCCGGTGTGGATATACACTCAGAGTAACATCACAAGCAACATATATTTTGTACGCCGTTTGAATCACTGCCGTTCTTATGTCGCTCCAGTGTCGCATCTAATGCAGTTAAGTTCGACACATGAAGAGTACGCCGTCTGAAACGGGCCTTTGATGATTTTGCAATATTTTTCAGATGTTGGGCATCTCTTTCTCCATATACAACAGTAACTGATTGATTTCTAGATGGAAATTTTTAGTGGAATTTTTATACATTTTGCAAGACCCAACCAGGAGCAGTGTCGAAAAATGCAACCAACCCCCCTCTGGCAGGAATCGAATCTCAATGGACCATTTGCATTATAGACTAAATTTTGATCTAGACAAAAATTTCATCACAGCTTGAAAGAGCATCACAAAATTAGTAATATTCCAAAGTTTCGTTGCGAAATGTTGTAAAATGCGGATAATATGGCCTTGCGAAATTTGCAATTTTCAGTCATTTTGTATTAAGGTACGTTTACACGCTGCGATTTGTCGGGCCGATTTTGCTCGCTGTATGTAAATAACCTGTCGTGAGTACTCGCGTCAGCACTTTGCGATTCACAAAATCGGGAGAAAAATCTGTAACAAAACCACAGATTTTTCTCACGATTCAACGATTTTTTTTCCCTTGTAAAGTTGTTGAAAACTTTTCGCACGCAGAAAACTATAACATGAACAGACGAGAGAGCGGACAGCTTCAATTGAACGTTTAAATCGCTAAATGTCGAAGAAGGGGTATCGATTATTTACCAAAATCGGCCCGACAAATCGCAGCGTGTAAACGTAGCTTTACAAACGGGAAATTGATGCCCCGACACCCGATTGGGCTGTCAATTTCCCGCGTGCGTAATACAAAATGACTCATGAAAAATGGTAAACTTCGCAAGGCTATATTATCCGCATTTTACAACATTTCGCAACGAAACTTTGGAATATTACTAATTTTGTGATGCTCTTTCAAGCTTTGATGAAATTTTCGTCTAGATCAAAATTTAGTCTATAATGCAAATGGTCCATTGTCTCTCTGTGGCTCAGTTGGTTCGAGCGCTGCACCGGAATCGCAGGGCCGTAGGTTCGATTCCTGTCAGAAGGCCTATAGTTGCGTTTTTTGAAACTGGTCCTGGTTAGGTCTTAATAAATGTATAAAAAATCCTCTCGAAATTTCCATCTACAAAATCTCTTTATCTATTTCCCTTAGATAAGCAATTAAATGATGCGAAAATGGCGATGTATGAACAACAGCGATGTTATGTCAAACCAGAGCCGTAAGTCAATGTTCAGCTTGCAGTGTGTTTCGACTGTATAATTGTCAAATAATGCAGTTAAAATGTCTTTACGTAATATAGAAACAACTTCCAATTTGTAATTTATGTACTATTTAAAGCACGCGTAGGAGTTTTTATCACTCGACTACAAGTGCTTTAAATGGCTTAAAAAACGATAAAACACGACTACAAGTGCTTTAAATGGCTTAAAAAACGACTCTGCTTATACGAGTTCATTGGCGAAGTAATTTTTAAAATAAACTTTGTCTAAACCGAGAAAATCAAAGCTAAAGTTTATGTAAATTAACATGATTTTATATCACATATATAACCACGACACGCTTATGATTTTTCTTTGTGTTTTGCTCCTGAATTATTAATGAGTTTTTTAAGTATATTTCAATTCCGACTATGAGGACTGGATTAGATTTAAAGTCCGCACAATTTGATCAAGGACTTTATAACAAACGTACTTGCAGGCAGGGGCGGATTTAGGGGTCGTCAAATCAGTCGCGCGACTGAAGTAAAAATTGCCTGCTTACAAAAATTTGACTCCAACTATCTATTGTGGCCAGTAGATCGAGTTACTAAAATTTAGAATCGTGCCGGTAGTCCAGTTATACGTTTCATGCTGCGGGAGAGCTTCGGCAAAGTAATGTTAGTCAGTCACGAACAGCGGTCTTACGCATGAAAGTTGACGGATTCGGGGGTTAAATCTGGCTATCTGATTGGCTGACACACTCATTTCCATGGCTACGGCCATTTGCGACGGATCTGTGGGGAGGCCTGACGGATTTGCAGATTCAGGGGCTCTGTATGAGCCTTCTGATTGAACCATTTAACAAAAATTCTGCACTGTCATTGGCTTATATTTTCGACGGATTCGCAGCGTGAGGTATTCGTCAACACGGCAATATAGTGTTTACGACTGAGTTTAACATTTTGAACGTTTACTATTACGAGCGATTTCTACCAGCGATATCTGGAAACATTTTCGACAATGTTCAGTTTGCAATTGCGGCAAACGATTTTGAATCTCTATACAACGTACGTTTGTACCGAGCTTGAAAAGAATATCGATGCCTCACAGACGAATTTTGTTTACAAGCTGCTGAGCGGCGCCAGCGACAACACAAGCAGAAGCCTCGCTAGAAATTTTGGCGCAGAGAGGCTGAGAGAGCTACTGCTAGAGAAAGACAAAGCTTGCACTGCAATAAGGTAGATAAATTATGGTTTTATAGTGATGTATCTTCAGTTCATATTAAAGGTTTATAAACCGGAGTACCAATTGTCTGACATATGATATTTTAATATATTCGCTATGCTGCATGCATTGCTATATTAGCATAATTCTCGCATCAAGAAGCTAAAATATGTTAACTACATTGTAAGCATTTGTTGATTCTCATGTTAGTGAAGTTTTATTTATATCACACAACATGTACGCGTTAACGCGTATACGTGTATTGGTTTATCCATAGCCTATCGACATGGCTGAAATATTTAATTAGGTAGCTTGAAAAGCTCATTGACTGGTAGCCATTCTGATGTTACTAGTTTATTAATAGTATATTTTGTGCTCATTATATATAAACCACAGTAAGACTTTATTAATAGTAAGGGTTTAGTTTATTAATATTTGACTTAACATCTTTGACTTAACATCAAATGTTCGTTTGAGTTTATTAATTCAATTTAAATATGTTTTATAATTTGGCTAATTAGAATTTAGGTTAATAGGTGTGGGGGGGGGGGGAGGGACCAAATCGCATTTTATGTACCGAAAATTCTAAAAATTCGGTGGCGGACTATCAGCATAAAAATTATTTCAGCGCCCCCCCCCCACTTGGAGTCGACCACGCCCAGTCGAGACCACGCCCAGCGCTGATAACGCCCTGTCCACCAAAAAAAAATTTGACTGAGGTACGAAAAATCCTAGATCCGCCCCTGCTTGCAGGGAGGTGAGTCCGGGATTGGACGCACCGAGGGTGGCTGGAATTTTCCCTCACACATTTGTAGCTCTTCGCGATATATTCGTCGATGTTTTGTGAACATTTTGACAAGCCAAAAAAATTTGTGAACAAGCCAAAAAAATCACTGGACAAGCCATTTGTGAACAAGCCAAAAAAATCACTGGACAAGAAAATACTTCTTTATCTACGTCTACATTACCTTTACTGCATTTTTTCTTTGGTTTTTCTTCAGTCTCAGTATGTTAGTCACCGAAAATAGTTCTTTAAAGTTTAGGTTTATCGGCTAAATCTTGTCCGCCATATTTGTTATTGTTATTGCAACGTAAGCAGTTTAGCGGGTGAGTTCGGGCGAAAAGCAGGTGAGCTCGACGACAAGCTCACCTGCTCTAAACCAATCAGAAAGCCGTTTTTAACACAGGTATGGGATAAGAAATCTAGTCCAGTTTAAAATTGGAGGATTTGAAATGACATCTACTTAAAGTGAGGTGAACTAATTTTGATCCCGTTCGAAGGACTGAATTAATTTTGATCCAGTCCTAGAACTGGATCAATATATACAGTAAGTGTACTTCACCAGCAAGCTGCTCCATTTACTGTTCGGAGTACTCCGGATTTTCGGAACACTAATGGAATGGAACAGAAGAGAGTCACATGACTGTTCTGAACTGTTCTGACTACCCCGATTTTCGAGTAGGGGCAGCCAGAACAGACACGTGACACTGTCTATTTTCACGTGATTGGAAATGGAGGCGACATATTTTGTGTATCCAATGCACACCGTATAGAGCGTTATTTTGAAGGGTTAACCGCTATATTTCGACATATACTTATTATATGCTATTTGAACGCCAGAGTAGGGCAAAATCAACGAGTAAAAACGTTGCAAAAGCATACGTAGATGTACAAATAACAGAGAATCATTATACGCTTTATTGTGCGAATAACTAATTAATATAGTAATGCATGGTTGCACGAATATATAATAAACTCAACTGTTCCAGAACACCGTTTGCACTCCATTTTATATCGGTTCAGAACAGTGTTCCAAATGTTCTAGAACAGTAAATGGAGCAGCCTGCAGGTATCCAGTATTATCATATTTATACTCATGAATTATTAATGCCTTTGAGATAACTATGGCAATTCTATTATCTTTCTCAGAACGTACCCTGAAGCAGTTAAGCAAGATATAAAGGACGAAGGTACTTTTTTATAACATGATTCTATATCCAAGAATGCATTGCATGTTGCAGCAAAAATTTCCTCGTGTAAAATTTCCTCGTGTAAAATTTCCTCGTGTAAAATTTCCTCATGTAATTTACTCTAAAGGAGTTGAAAATTTATTTCCTTTGTAGAAAATGTTTGTTCCGTTCCCACGCCTTGTGATCCTCGTGTTATTGCACTAAGGGTAAGCATATGTACTTCTTAACAAATATAAAACATTTTCGGTGTTGATGTACAGTTATATCACCACGATTGGAAATTGGGAAAACGAGAAATTGTGTGAAATGTGGAAAGTTATTCACTTTTTGTGTGGAAACAAAAAGTGAATAAATGTTTTTCTAAACAAATTTTTGTGTTTATTTTGAAGAACATTTTACAAAAATATAGAAACTCTATATACCATATGAAATTTTCTAATATATAATATATAATATAGCACAAAGAAATATAAAGAAAGAAATTTTCCGTGTTGTCATTGAGTTATATCAACACGGCTCTTAGCCAATCAGCGTTGAGAATTTACAAATGCTATATTATACACTCAATGTTTGCTCCCGAGCGAAATAGTTTGTTTTGTTTTCCCGAGAGTCTCGATGTTTCCCGAGACGAAGTCGGGGGAAACACGGGGATTCGAGGGAAAACAAAACTAACTATTCCTCGAGGGGGCAGACATTAAGCGTTTTGTTATATAGCGACGAACAAAAATCAACATTCAACAACATTCATACAACAATTGTATTTCGTGACAAAAACTCTATAGAGTAAACGAGTTTAAAATTAAAAGAACCTACCTAAACGGTTTCAGCAGCATATCCTGTTGCCTGTTGTGTATTTTTCTTCTCTTTTACATTTTTTATTTGAACACAAACTTCGAAAATCGTAGTTTCTAATTATGCTAGTTGTGCCGCAATTTTGTTTATTTGTGCACGTAGCCGGTTGGGGTGGGCAACAATTTTCACTGGTTGCCCGGTATTATACATTGCATTTATCTGAAGTCACGTGACCACAAATCAGCCAATCACGTTTGGTGTTCACCCTAGCTACTGTATATAACAATATAAATTGTATTGACATATGAGTGTGGACGACATTGCTTTTCAGTTCTCCAATATTTGAGGGAGTCATGCTTTGGAAATGACAATAAATTTTTATTACCCAACCCTGGAGCTGTTTTGTTTTTCATTTACCCAACCTTTTACTCAAAATTTTGTTTACCCAACCCTTTTCTTTTTGGTGCCACCCCCAGCCATAAATAATGGCCGGTCCCCTAGCTGGCAGAATATTTTAGGGCAGGATTTTTAGGGCATTACATAATGCTAACACACAGAGAAAATAATGTGCAGTATTACTATTAGGAAGAATATTAGTGAGATCGACAGAAAACATTTGACCCCAAAACTTGGGATCCCAGAAATTGTAGTAGTGCTAGTAAAATTTATTTTCTTTCCCCAGAGGGACTTTTCAAAGATAATTACACAAAATAAGTAGAATAATATGTACAAAATTAGAAATGTAAAAAGTTTGTTAATGCACTAAAATGGAAATATGACACAATTTAATTTGCTGTCAAATGCATGCTTGACACGATTGATTTGCCCCAGTATAGACATACAAGTTGAGACGGTCTTGGTAAAATGATGGTTGTAGGTTAACTTAACATCCAGAGTAACGCCACATCCTTCGCCATTTCAATGGGTTTTAGTGAAAATATATTAAAACATTACACTTCCTATATTAATACATACATTTAGGAAAAGCTGTTGGAGAAAAGACGTATGTTGAATCAGTTAGAAAACCAAGAGAGAGATTTTCTTGGAACGAACAATGGTAACCATGCATTATATGTACAGTACATGAACTGTTCACTCAGCATCGTGCCAACAGGAAATGCACCATCTTCGATACGTCCCCTAATCACACTTGTGTATTTACAAATTTCATGACCTGAGTCACGCTTTGAAGAAATAAAAACAGAAACCTACTGTAGTTAGAAGCCTAAAGAGGCCATGCTGTGGTTAGCTCCGCCATTTGCCTTTGTTGTAATGATAGAAATTGCTTAACATCTACTATGTAAGTATTAATTCGTTTTTCAACCGCACAGGTACTATGACAAGAATTGAATTCTCAGCGACTGCTAAAAATAATTATTTCTTGGTCATCGGTCGACCAGATACTCTCATACCAGAGGGACGAACGATTACCATATTTGGTAGATTACCCAATGGACGTTGGAGATGTTTTATGGATAGAGAGAACGATCGTCGGGGATCTTGTAATGATAGCAATGGACATGATATCCACTCGTATCCACTGATTGGCAGTGTACCTACAAGTGTTATTGTGGAGCTGAACCAACCAAGTCGTATTAAAGATTTCGTTGACAGTCTCTCGATATCCTCCAATGAGATGTCTCCCCCTGGAACTCCCGCTGATGATCTGTCAACTACGTCATCGAATTCATTTACATATGACGTCATACCTGGTTCCCAGTCCCCACGTCGCTTATCGGATGCCGTCGTATCTAGCTCCCAGACTTCACGGTCAGAACCTTACTCCAACCATAAATATGGTAACAACCTTGCCCCACCTAAAGGTCCCCTCTCGACTTCCGAACAGACTCTCCCTCCGACCAGACCAACCCAAATCAGTCCCTTAGGAAACCAAGTATTAACCCATCGTGTGACACGGCCTTCAAATTCGTCCATGTCACCCACATCCCCTCAGCCAGAAAGCGTTTCCAACGCAATGACTGACTTAAACCGAGCGTTAGAAAACCTAGCGGCACTGGCGCCCCGATCTAGGGTCTCGTCCAATGTTTCGACGTGCAGTAGGACTTCGAATTCCAGTCTGGAGGATGACAGTTCAGATATGAGTCGTGGTTCGAGAATTGAATTGAATTCTGATGATGAGGAAACGGCTGATTCCAAGACTAAGTCGGGTGAGTAACGTCCTGGGTTTGGGAATAGATTAAGTATGGATAGATGTGTAAAATCAGTAAAAACGTTGTCCCCTCGGGCCGGTTGTTCAAAACTCGATTAGCTTAACCCTAGGTTAACCTAAAATTTAATGCGAACTTCCTGACAGCTTGTCTAGAAATTTGGAAATGTTTCTTCAGAGATCTTGTCTGGATCGATAGGAGCTTATTTCTCTGAACTTTTGAAATAAACAGAAGTGCAGAAATACAAGTACCAAAACAGCCAGCGGGTTAAATTTTAACGAAGGGTTAGCACTAACTCACCTTTGAAGTACGTCCCGGATTAGCGCAGAAGCCTTGGGTCCGCAGATTGCTCTTTGACAGGAATCGAACTTGCGGCCCTGTGATTCCGGTGCAGCGCTCTAACCAACTGAGCTACAGAGAGACAGTTGTCGAGCTCTAACCACAAGTTCATGTGTAAATACTAAAGTGATGCTAATGTATATGGATAAATCTAGTATCGAGATTTTGGGTATCTCACATGATGTAACTGATTGTTCAAGGGAAAAGTTATAGCCAAAATCGTGGTATTTAATAGCGCAGAAAATGATGCGTAGAGTTTAGTATTATTCCATAAAACTGATAAATATCCGAATTTTTGACTCAATATAACTAATTGTTTGAAGAGTTTTGTTGATGGAAATTGTGAGTGTAAACTTTATATCACCTTAGTATAATCATGGATTGTAAAATAACTGGATAGGAAACTTGCTGACGTCACAGTCTAAACCTAGTTGCAATGTGTGACGTCACGCGTATTGCCAAAGTTCTTAGCATTTTTGTTGTTTCGCTATATTTTCCACTTCAAAAGAGTAATATTGAAGCATAAACTGGTCTAATTGCTTTAAAAACATGCCTAAGCCACGACAAAGTATTCAAGGTAAATGTTTTTCGTCTTTGTTTTGTATTTTTTTACATTTGTAGCTACGAAATTGGCGTCGCCAATTTTTACGAAATTTGCGATGCATTTTTCACTGTTTTGTGCTTGAAATATTTGCTAAAATTGACCGGGAATACTTAGAGATTTCATCATAGAATGGCTTAGTTATATTTATTTGCTCTTTGACTAAAATGTTTAGCTGTATTATCGCTAAACATGCCGTTTTTGAGAATTTGGTTTGCAACTAGGTTTCAACACCATCATCCCATTGAAAACATTAGGTCACGTCAGCTAGTTTCCTATCCATGTATTTTATTATCCATGGTATAATTAAACATGAACTTGCCGTTATAGAGCTCTGACACCCGGTACTGTCGTTCGAAATTAAATATTTTACTTTTTATCCACTTGAATGACAGACATTTTGGTTTTAAAATAACGTTTTAATTGTTTCTTCAGATATTGTGATTCGCAGACGATTAAGAAGACGAGACATTCACATATCTCGGAAACTTCACGCAAAAGGCATTAGCATAATTGTTGGGTCTTCTAGTTCTTCAGAAGGTATAAACTGCATAATGTAATGGACGACTTACGCTTTAGAAAAATTTTAATCTGGGAATAACAAAGGATATTTTTGTTAAGAAGTTATCAAAATTAGAAAAACTGCAAAGTTTGGTTGCGAAATGTTGTAAAATACGGAAAATATAGCCCTGCGAAGTTGGCAAATTTGTATACATTTCTGTTACGTTCGGAAATTGGTAACTAATTTAGATACCAATTCACGCACGTAATACAAAAGTATACAAATTTGCCAACTTTGAAGGGCTATATTTTCCGTATTTTACAACATTTCGCAACCAAACTTTGTAATATTACTAATTCCAAGACGCTCTTTCTAGCTGTGGTGATAGATTTCGTTGTTCTTACTTAGATTAAAATTTAATCTAAAGCGCAAGTCGTCCATTGCATGTAAAGTAAAAGAACAAATTTAAGGGGTGTTTTAACTTTCACCTCTTTTGTTTTGAAATAATTTTGAAATTTTCAATTTTTCTTATCCATATTATCCCGCATAGAATTGAATAAAAATTGAAAATTTTGAAATTAGAAAAGATCAAAATTTTTGGTCGTGTAATTCAAGAAATGTTGGAATATTTTTTTACTGCTCTGTAGATGAAGATGACTGCGAAGAAATTATGAAAGGTTTTGAAACTGCTGATAAATCAACAGTCATGGAGGAAGTGACTCAATCACGGTAAGAAATTTTATGTACTAAAATGCTCGGTTTGAATAAGCTGCCGGTGCATGTTTGTGTCTGAACCACCTGAAAACGTTGCTGCTAATCTATCTGTCGTAAAAAGTCGTTCTTATAGGGGCCATTCATACGAGCAGTGCCCGACAGAATCGTGTCACGAATTTTTTCCTAACCGTAAAACTCGTTCGGATGAACTTTTCTGCTGTTACTGGAATCAAACCAATTCAACTTTGAAATGTCGTTTTGGATGTTTTTCAAATTCCGTGATAAGAGCTTTATTAATAAACGAATCATCCCCGTTAACAACCTCGTACCCAGGCTATTTTCTCTTGCGCTCGGTGCACGGCCACTTGCTGAGAAAATAGAGGAAAATTGAGGGAATACGAGGATGCCCGGTTAACTGGGCCAACCATTGCGGCCAACTCAGTTCCCAACCTCGTTCCCAGGGCTTCAGTGTGAGGACGAGGCGAGACACGAGGAAGCCCTGGTCCGGGCCGGTCACGTGACGTCAAAAAATGGCAGTATTTGACAGCTACTCGTCAAGGAGTGGCGAGATATTCTTTAATGAAATATACAAGTCTTCGAAACAAATAAATAGCCAAAAGACTTCTCAATCGATATTATTTATGTGTAGAGCGAAGTTTGACACGAATCAGCTAAAATCTATGAAGATCCCGTCTATGTTTTCTAAGATATACCGATATTTCTGGAGATTTTCAACTACAGGCAAAGCTCTGCATCCAAGCTGCATCTAGGCGTCTCCATGCAGGTGGTGATTCACACGAAATTTCCTTTCTCTCGTCTTGAACAAAATGGCTATTGCTATAATTAATATTTAGTTTAAATATGCTCTTATAGATCTGACTTAGTTCAATATATTAAATAAACACAAATATAAAACCTCGCGTAACCTGTTTACGCTGTACAGGAATATACGGTTCGCTTGTTTCGCCGGACACCAACACTTGCCGTTCAGGAGCAATGCTTGCCTACAAATTTTATCCCCTTCACAATCTTTGTTTTATTTTATCGTATAGTCGCAATTTTCAAGTATTCGGCGTATTCTGAAACTGAAAAACTGGGTGGCGTGCGAATCTTGTAGACTACATCGGCCTAGGCGTAGAGCTATTATGCGTGAGTCAATTCCAGGAGTAACCATCCCCCCCCCCCCCGGGAACACACCCGGACATTTGATTAGATTGGTTATAATAGTGCAAATGCCCGGGTGCCGGGACACAACTTGAAGACTAATGCACGGCCCCTGGGCAAGCTGAGAGTGGAAAATGCCCCACCCCGGGGACGATTTTACAGTCAATTTCACGAAACTTTGATCACAAATGTTGCGAAGTTCGGAAGCTCATATTGGAATTCACAAGCCAATTTGTAAACAAAGTCCCTGATTGGTCCGTGAAGTAAAAGAAGCCAATCAAATGCGTAGTTTACGAACTGGTTTGTGAATCTCATTATGAACTTTTGAACTTCGCAACAATCTTGTGAACTTCGCAACGAAGTTCGGAGAATTTGTGGTCAAAATTTCGTGAAATCGACTGTAAACGTTAATTAAACTTTTAATGGCATATAATCATAGTCATTTAATAACATTATAGTATTAAACTGCTATGGAATATTATAAAACATAAACCTTTAATAGTTGTATTTAAATTTGCATGGCACAGGGTATAATTTTCGCTTATTCTTACAATAAATTTCACGCCACCTTGACCACGAGGGCGCAAAATACGATCAGCGCGCCCACATGCTTGCCTGAAACTATGTTTTGCTGCCTTAAAATTTGTGGGTGGGATTCTGGTCAACCATTTGTCAAATCCCCGGGGTCCTCCAATACCCGGCCCCCGTGCACATATATGAAAGGCAAATTCCCGACCCCCGTGAACTGTCTATCGGGCAAATTCCCGGGGGGGGATGGTTACTCCAGGAATTGACTCATGCATTAAGTAAACAGGGCCTAAATTAATTTAGTAGTTTCATTTAATTGTTTGTCTTGCTTTTATTTGTCAGTACAGAATATTGTAAATTAAAATATTACTACAATGCAATACGCGTAGTATTTCATCAGACATCTGCACTAATAAATACTGTACAAGGAAAACTTAAATAATAGTAGACATGCATTTCTTGTTTTGTCAGGAAACATCACAGCTCACTTCGACACGGCTTTTGAGTTTTGTAACCGGCCGAGGCGAAAGTAAATCGTGCAGTCGGGAAAACGTCTTACTTTGAAAGATTATTTTGCAAAGCATACTCGTACACACAAGAATCATAAAAATACAAATGTTTAATTGTATTGTAATTTGTTATTGTCAACCGTCAAGTTCAGTTATTTTTAGACAATATGGTGTTAGCCAATCAGAATGCAAAACTGACCGGCCCGGACCAGGGCTTCCTCGTGTCTCGCCTCGTCTTCACACTGAAGCCCTGGGAACGAGGTTGCTCAGTTCCCTTACGGATGTTTTTACGTTACCACACGCGTAAAAACGCGCAAGTTAATGTTGCAGATCTGTAAACAAGTCAACCGATATCAGAATGTGTTCGCACTGCTTGTTCCCACTTGTTGTGGCAAGTCTGGAACAAGTTGTTGTAAGGTTGATGACGGTAACAGACTTGCTACAAGTTGCTCCAACAAGACTGATACAGCCAGGCTGTTCCTAACAAGTTGCTACGAGCTTGTTATAGTCAACAACTTATTAATTAACAACCTGTTACATGCAGACGATATCAAACCTGTTGGAACAACTTGTTGCGAGTCTGTTGGCCTCGTCAACCTTCTTACAAGATGGTAACAACTTGTTTCAGACTTGTGAACAACTGGGGACAATTTTACGCGTGGTCATGAATTAAGCGAACTCTGACACTGTATTATGAAACGTGACTCACGCTTGGGTTTTCCCTATTCTGCTGGGGCCACTTTGGCGTACTGTTCAACAACAATGAATGAACTTGGTTTTTTTTTACAATAACTATCATTGAGCAAACTTATTTTTCGTAATATTTAACCTTTTGTCGTTAAAATACAATTACATCGATCTGCATTATTTGCAGTTTTTCACACCATGCATTTAAAGAGAACGTCCAATTAAATGTTTGTGATGTTGCTCAGCTGAGTGTGTCCTCACGGACCTCACCGGGCAAGCTGAAAAGTTTGCTTGACTGCGGTGGGAATCGAATCCGCGACCTTTGGTTTGCTAGTCCAACTGAGCTACAAGGTCAAGTCGGTTCGAGTGTGTGATATTTCGGACTTAGTCTAGTTCCTTCGATATCAGTATGTTTTTATGATCTTGAATTCTTATTTCTGATGTTGTGCACTCAAATGAAGATCGTTGTACAGTAGCTCAGTTCAGACCTGCCAAGTCATCGTGAGACTCACGATTTTTGATGCTTTCTCACGATCTCACGATTAAGTCCCCAAATCTCACGATTTTCGGAACTTATGAAATCATCGAAGAGCGCAACATTTCGTTACAATAAGGCACACTCTTCCAAGGAAACGTCACACTTTATTAGTGTATTAATAATGCGCCTCTGAATGCGCAATGTACAACGCCAGAATTTTGTATGCGTGATGTTTGTGTTACAAAGTAAAAGCTGGCGTGTCCTGCTAAGTTTATTGTCCTGTTAGTCCTAATATTACTCGTAGTTTTCTTGTACAGTGGAAACTACTAAAGCCATAAAGGAAAAACAGCCTGTTTTTAATAAGCCTTGCATTTACGGTTATATTAACAAAATATAAATGCATACTATCATAAGATTGGATATGTATTGATTATTTTCTAGTGTTGTTAAAGTTAACCCTGGTCATATTAATGAGCAAACCTGAAAAATTCTAAGTGTCACGATTTTTCAGTCAATCTCACGACTTTTTAGATAGCAACTCGCTATTTCTGCTACTCAAGGGTTGGCAGGTCTGTCAGTTGGTAGAGCATTGGACTAGCAAACCGACGGTCGCTGGTTCGATTCCCACCGCGGTCAAGCAAACTGTTCAGGTTGCCCTGTGGCTGTGTGGACACACTCAGAGCAACTTCACAAACATCTATCTTCATCTGCGTGCACAACACTGTCAGAAACAAGAAAACGTCCAATTAGTTGTCAATGCAACATCGTGCATGTTCGATTTTTTAACAACAGTAGATTCGTATTTAACCTTAGGCTTAAAGCTCCCACTTAGACTTAAGGCTCTCTCCTCCGCAGAGCTTTCCTGGCTTCTTAACAGTGCGAAGCTTCGATATTATAAGACACAAACACAGATTCGCCGAAGCGAGCGGGCGACCTCTATCCCTTCTTTATGTCTTATAATATCGAAGCTTCGCCTTGTTAAAAAGCTAGGAAAGTTCTGCGGAGGAAACATTTCCCGTGTTTCTGTACAGTTAGGGACCGGTCATAAAGTAACTTCTAGGGTGGGCTGGAGTAATTTGGGATGGGCTATGGAAAATCTTTGGGCAGTTTCGATGGGCCGCCAATTTTTTTGTATGTCCACGGTTGGGCCACCAAACAAAAACCCATGCATGTCTACTTCAAAAAATAAAGATATTAATAATAAAAGTAAACAAAACTATCCAAATTATCAAATGCAAATGATGCTATTGAAGCCAGTACTTTGTTTATACAACAACAAGAAGTGGTCGAATCACAGCAAATACAACCAACTGGAGAGTTATTTATTGCTCAGTATCAACGTGTTGGTCAAGCTTGATGGAATTATGTATGTCAATACAGTGCCGTGTATATTTTCAATGTTCATACCTACAACATTGTTTTATTATAAAAGTGTATTTTCCCAATTTAGATTGGGTGGGTCATGAAAAATTTTTTGTACATCCTAAGATGGGTCACCGAACTTATTGGCAAAATTTGTGATTTACCTCCAGCCCACCCTAGCAGTTACTTTATGACCAGTCCCTTATACTATAGAAACATGCGTTGGAATTTGGGAGAACGAGAAGTAATCAGTTGGAAACACTACGTATATAACTATGTAGATAATGTAGTATGTATATATCATTGCTAAAACGTTACTCTGCAAAAACTGCTTGAGGTCGTTAGCTATGCGAACAATTTGAAGAATGACAATGGTAAGAGGAACCAACCAGATTTGTTTTGACTCGGTTTAAATGTTGTTTTCCCTACAAACGTGTCGGCACGACGTTTGTATTATATTTGCCGCGCACGCGGCATACTTATTGAGTTATTGATGAACGTCAGTTTTAAGACTGGTTTACCTATATCAATGTTTCTGTGATCACATGGTAGGAATGTTTTGAGGGAACTGACTTTAATAGTGTTTAACACTGACTCCTTCAAATCTTAGAGTTAGATTTTATCAGTGGATTTTATCTGTGTGCAAAATCCCTATTGTGCGTCACAGAAACTTTGACAGTATAAACGAGGCTTTGAAATACACTAGAAAACACGTTGAGAATGATTTTGAAATAAAATTGAAATATTACAGCCGCCGCATATCGCGCCTTGTTGATTGCTCTAATCACTAATGACTATAATCTTGAGTAAGATGCTTCTATATCGGAGTATGTTTTGAATTATATTTTGTCGGCTAGGTTTTAATGGATAGTACAGCCTGGCACTATTCCCAATATTGAAAAGTGCTACCTCTGCAAGAGTGCAGTATTTAAATGCCAGAATTGAACAGGGTATACATCAAAGCTGATAAAAAGCTTCCGACAATGTGGGTGTTTTGTAGTAAGTCGTAGTATTTTTGAATACTTTAGCAATGCCAGTAATGCATTGATTTTATAACCCATCTCGTGCCAGCGCTCTTCCCTTGACAAGCAAAATCATCCGGCGTTAGACAGGGTAAAATAATAAAGCATTGTGAATGAATTATAAAACTCGTCGAAGTCTTTTTCAGGAATTGTTTTAAAGAAATTTTATTATACTGCATAAAAAACATAAAATAGCAGCATGTCACATAGCGAAGGAGGGCTGAGTACAGCTATCTATAGATTATATAAATTATTCAGTGCTGTATTGGGAAATCCAAAACAGGAACATTTCCGAATTTGTAAATGGAAACCTAAGAAAAGGGACCCAATGGACATTTGCATTATAGACTAAATTTTGATCTAGACAAAAATTTCATCACAGCTTGAAAGAGCATCACAAAATTAGTAATATTCCAAAGTTTCGTTGCGAAATGTTGTAAAATGCGGATAATATAGCCTTGCGAAGTTTGCCGTTTTTCAGTCATTTTGTATTACAAACAGGAAATTGACAGCCAAATCGGGTGTTGGGGCATCAATTTCCCGTTTGTAATACAAAATGACTAAAAATTGCGAATTTCGCAAGGCTATATTATCCGCATTTTACAACATTTCGCAACGAAACTTTGGAATATTACTAATTTTGTGATGCTCTTTCAAGCTGTGATGAAATTTTTGTCTAGACTGGTTTAGATCAAAATTTAGTCTACAATCCAAATGGTCCATTAGATGATGGGAATTGCAAAAGACTCGCAACTTTTCAGGGGACCTGGGGGACCTTATCTGCAGACAATTTTCGTATACTTTATAACCTCCAGAGGTCGATTTCTTGCTTTTTCAGACACAATTTTTGATGCAGTCCATCTTGAAAAATTGAATATTAGGCCATATAAAATTCGATACAAAATTTAAAAACGTTTAGTGAAAGCCGGCATAACTGATTTATTATCTTCATTTTAACATTATTTTACAGATAAAACATAAAAATACTGTCTATATTACTCAGTAAATACTGTCTTACTATTGTTTGTCGATTAAGAAAGGTATCAAAAATTGACTGAGATTACCAAGCAGTACATTACATTATACTCGCGGTATAATTTCGCTATAGAATTTGAAATAAAAAATTCAAAGCCTTAATTAAGGACGGTTAGGACGCTATCTTGAATCTATTGTTTTCACCATTGTGTTTACACCCCCTGCAAATTTACCTGGCTAGAGCCTAGGCTATTGTCATGTTTTGTTATGGCGTCGTCCTAATTGAAATCTTAGATTTAATTCGTCATTTTCTGAAATTTGTTTGACATTTACTTAATTAAGAAGGAACATTTTGTGGCTGGCTGAAGACTGACCTACCTAAAATGCTCATGTTTTGTGATTGGCTTTCAGAAACAAGAACGATCATTGTTCGTAACTTGTTCTTTAGAAAGACGATTTCTCTCATTGTTTTTTGTCTCTCATTGTTATAATCAACCAACCACGTGGCTGGATGGTATAGGTAGATGATGACCCTTTTAATCTTATTTATATACTTCAAACACAGACCACGACGGCTACTTGTGGTACTTTGTCTATAGTGTGATCAATCAACCAAGTTCGTACAAAATTTTCTCACACACTCACATAAATCCTATGTCTCAGATATAAAACTTAAGTAGGATTTTTCTAAGTGATGTTTTTCTACCGGCTTAGCGCTATGAATCAAAAATTTGATCAGAAGGTCACCGTCAGCTCACGAAAATAGGCGTGATCTGGAAGATTCGCGAAGGAGCGTTGTTTACAATATTTTTTGCGCTGTGTAATTTTCTGTGGTGTTCCATGCACGTTTTGAGAAGGCGTGTGTTTACAATATTTATTTAAAACAATATGCGCTGTGTAATTTTCTGTGGTGTTCACGTACGTTTAGAGAATTAATGTTTTCGTTGCCATCCAAAGACTGCCAGTCTGCCACATTGACACATAAAATCATCGACTGTCTGGCATAGTAAAATAAATGTTTATTGTCATATCAAAAATGTAATATTCTTGAAACTGATAGGTGTAGCAAACTGTACCGTATGATGCGCATTGCCCCGTCACACATTGGTACTTCGTTTAACCTATTGAGTGGCAGCACTCTCCACTGACGAGTGAAATCGTCTGGCGTTAGACAGAGTAAAATAATAAAGTAGCGCGTATCCATGGTTTGTGTCGCGGTTTGTGTTTCAACTACCCGAAAAAGATATTTCGATCGTGGAGGTACACTGTAGGTAGTATTCTACAATAATCTGTGTCTGAACTGCCCGAAATAGATATCTCAGACGTGGGGGTCCAGTGTGGGTCCAGTGTGGGTAGTATTGTATAGTAAGCTGTCCTGATTTGTGTCCAAACTATACCAAACCCAAGGTCCAAGACTTTAAACTTTTCAGATAGTTCAGTACCCAACCGCACACCATATTTCCCATAAGGATGCATTTTGTTTATCATTTACATCCGGAATAAATCGTTTATCTTCTGCTAATAGTCATATATTTGTGCTCATATAACGACGCAATTTCCCTCCCCCTTTTCTTACCAATTTCTACATGTCTCAAATGTCACAATTAATTAAGCGTCGTGTAATTATGTGAGTCTTGAGTGACCAGTGACATTTGGTAACCTAATACTATAGGCTTCTAATAGGATTTTAGGTCAAGTGCAAGAGCGGATAGTATTTTTAATATTAGAATATTTTACTATTGTGTCCGCGACTGTTAAAATAATCACGGTGTATTGTGGACAAAACAGATGATGGGGGTTTGTTTGCCGACTTTAGAAAAACATGGGAGGGTCATATTTAATTATTTGCTCTTAACAACCTTGTTTAATTTCTACTAATAAAATCCGCACTCAGAGATCGGACTGACATTCCAGAACGTGGAACGTCAAACAAACCGCTGGAGTCACGGAATGGAATTTGTTTCAAATATTTAAATTGTGTAATCGTATAGTAAAAACCTCATACTGTTTGTCAAAATAAAATCGACTCAAGCCAGAATGATATGAACATTCATATTCGTTGAACCAGACGTGGCCCGCTGATGCTCTTCAGGAGAAAAATGTAGAATGCCAAATACCTTTTGTGATTTGAACTTGTAATGAGGCGTTTCCTCAATTCCTGGATCAAACTACTTTGGGTAAAAAATTTTGTTTATAGTGTTTTGAACAAACAATAGAATTTTATGAAGGACACTGAAGGGCCATACACGAGTCTCTCCCCTTCAAATACAGCATGCTATCTGTGCATATATACTAGGATGTTAGGGTTTGTAATCCAAGTGAGAATATATACATTTTAAGACCTAACCAGGAACGACTGCGAAAAATGCAGCACAATTAGGTACCTACTGTAGATTCGGCCACTCGATGGATGTGTTCCACTGAAAAAAAGCGCAGGATTGTTTTTCGGATTTCAAGATCCCGCAAAAATACCTAGAGACTTAGTGATTTGTTTGCGAGATTTTCAGTGGATTTTAGAGGGTGTTTTTGGCAACATTTTAGAAATTCGAGGAGATTTTAGCCGGTTTCGAAAGCGATTTTGCAAGTTTTGAGATTTTTTAGCTATATTCGGTGAGAGTTTTTAGTGATTTTATAGAAAGTTTCGAGATTTAGGATTTTAAGGATTTGAAGATTTTTGGTGGGATACGAGGCGTTTTGGAGTAATACACTCCTCGCAGCCACTTGGCACCGAACTTATCTATACCTACATATCTCCTTATTTGCCTACTACCCTTCCTACCAGTCTGTCTGCCTCTGTTTACTTTTCTACTTACCTCTACCTAGCTTCCTACTTACCTACCCACCTATACTTACTTATTTAATGGACCTACCTACCCTTCATACTGGACAACAGCGGTTAGCATGTTAATTTAATTAAATAAATTTCAATCTATACCTAATTTGAAGGTAAAATAGAATCCCAACAAGTGACTTTTAAACAAGACAAAAAAAGAAGTCATTTAATTTGAAAGTCATTCAATGGCGTTTATATTTGTCTTTAAACTTCCTTTTCCTCATTCCAGACTTAAAGTCCATACTGTATTTCCAAAAAAAATACAAAATAAAACATTCTATATGACAAAATTTTATATGAAAAATTTATATGAAAAATTTTCAAAAAACTTTTTATTTATATATATCCATATAAAATTCTGTCATGATTTTGATCTTGGAGTTTCAAGATACTGAAATTCTAGAACAAATTCTGAATATGAAATTCAGAATTTCCAGACTTTGTACTCCAGATTTGAGTTCGGGTTTCCAAGTGTTTCCCTGCGAGTGTTATGGCGAGAAAAACAGGAAATCACCTTATTAAATTGCGGTCGTGTGGATTGCTTGCATTTCTATACTAGAGTGCTTGCAAAGGCTAACAAGCATTTTCAAGCAGTTAGTTCGTAAAGCCGGAAAGCTTTTTATGCGCTTTGACTCGCTGTTCTCAGTGTGGAGATCGCGTTGTGTGTATACCCGTACGGTCGACGCAATGACTTGGATTTCAAACGTGCTGAAAGTCTGTAATGTATTTTCATGTTATAGAAAAATCGAAGGACTTCAATCTTCGAAAGAAAAGCTGACAGAGAAAGTTATAAAAGGTTAGATATTTTTATTTAAGATCTAATACTTTCATAAGTTTGCGTGCAACTATATAGGCTACAGAATATATTGTTAATTGTTTGTGCTTTATAATGATGTTATCAGCGTATGGAGTTTTCACCGAGGGCACCCATTCGTACAGTGTCTGTCAAGCGTTAAGTAGTTACTACATAATAAGCATTTAAAACTTGAATCAATGGTCGACCGTGCTATAATTTACCCTGCGTGCGTATATGACAGATGTGAAATTAATGTCATAATTTGCAACAATTACGAATTTAGAATCTGTCACGTTATATTTGAATATCAAATAGCCTCGCACGTGTTTGAATATTTGAAGCGTAATTTTGAAGGTCGACGTAACGTTAGGATAATCCGCGTATCAACTACCCCTGGTTAAATAAACATGGGGAAGTATTACAATAGTTAGGCTTGTTTTAGGTAGAGGGGACTGATTGTTAGATCGTATGGCAACATATGGTACATTACTCATTAGTTCACATGCAGACGTGATTAAACTGGACGTGTTTTCTGTGAAACTTAATACGATTGAAATTGCAGCAGAATATAAATATTGGGCGCTATAATATAGTAAGCTTTTTGTGCAGTAGATCGTGATCACCCAGCAATTGTCAAAGTGAGAAAGTACTGTTAGTTCTTTTTGTTTAATTGCGGAATTTTTTGTTTGATTTTTTTGCCGGTGTCAACACTTCTATATTACGACCATGAGACCATCTGCTGCCCAGTACTGCTCTCCCTATTTTAATAGCTGATTGTATTTTAAATGCATGTTAATACGAGGTTAATACAAGGCCATTTATGCATGCTATATTAAACTAACTGTTTTTCTATAATAAAAGTTCCTTGAAAGTTTCCATCCCGATGGCAATAAAACAATAGTCGATATATCTTTTGGTTTGTGGAAAAATTATTGCAAAGCTTTGTCTATGCGCAAGCCAAGATCTTTACGGAGTGGTAATATTATATTATTCTAGAAATACGATGATGTTTTGCACAAACCAAAGTATATAACTGATTTCCTCTTTATAAATTTACACTTGCAATTAGGTGCAATTCCTTCTCCTGATGGATGTGAACGAGCAGATGAGTCATGAATGATCTGAGTATATGTATTATGTAGCCTCATCTGAACCATTCGTAAACACATCTACTCGTTCACATCCATCAGAAGCAGTAAATCGCATTGCAAATCATCGTAGAAAAATCGGTAGCCATGCGCACACAGCGTATACGGCACAGGTTTTGCGTGAAAAAAATTAATCCAATGCACTTCATTACCATGTTGACTGCTAGCCAAACCATTTAATTGTGAGCGGAAATCTATCTTGAACTTCACTGTGTGTTCTGTAAGCAAAATGTACTGCATGTCTATACATTTGTGTTCTGGTCATGTATAGTACAACATAAAATTTGAGTTTGGGGTTTTACTTCAATATGTTTTGGCAAGCGAGGAAAGATAGCCCATATATTTTTAACCGGATAAATAACGTTTCTTTATTTGACCTGTTTCATTGTTTCAAGTCATTAAAGTTCATTAAAGGGCACTTTCTCATTTATCTTTTTGATCTGTTTGTTACACTTTGGACAGAATTACAATTCTCATTCATTTCTTTAGTTTTGCTGAGTTTTTTAATCTACCGCGACAAAGTCACTTGCGATCATATTCTAGACTAAAACCTCCAAATCCTCGAAAGCTTATTAAGCCATTGAAATTAAAAAAAAAATGTTAAATCTTTTGACGGAAATTCAATGACAATAGCGAAATACTGCATTCTATCAGATTAAAGGAACATAATGAAGATTATTCAGGTTTTGAAATTTCTATATGTTTCACCACACCCAGCGTTTGTTGTGTCTTAGTGGTTTCCTACGCTGTTGTGTCTTAACCTAGCAAACAGTTGGATCCGTGAGAATTGCAAGAATCTGAGTTCGATACTTAACCAAACTTGACCCTTCGCGCAGAGAGCTAACTGCTCTCTTGCGTCATAGTAATTAAAGTGAAACTCTCTGATACTGAAGTGTCATAAGTATGGTGGCAGTGTTAAACATAGACTTTCGGAACTATATATATAAGCTTTTGTCACTGACCCTAAGCACGTGTAAAGTGACAGGATCCAGGGGCAGTCGATCTGTACAAGGGCCGGATAGCGCTATCCACAAAGATAGTGATTTTTTTCAACCTTTGTAAAAAATACTTGAAGAGCTGTGAAATTGCGGATATATAAGACCTCACAAGAAGCATAAGAACTTTTAAATACTAAACTTTTATCATGATCAATGTCTATTTCTACAAAACTTGAAAATCATTATCAGATGGATAGCAAAGTTTGCTAGACTAAGCAAACGGCCTCTTGTGTTTTCAAAAAATATTCATCATTAATATAGAGGTTATAGCCTTTACTTTTTGGCCAATTTTTGCCACTTTTCAAAAGTTTGAAAAGTGGCCAAAATTGTCAAAAAATAAAAACTAACCAAATGTGTATAAAAGACTAACGGTCAATTAAGTTAACCAAACTATAAACTAAAATAAATTAACACTATACTTCGATTTATATTTGATAGCTGTCATAACTTTATCAGTTTTAAACCATCTTCTCAGAACTTCTTGTAAGGGACATCCATGTCTTATTGGTCGGGAGGAAACCTACACTTCGTACTGGGTAGCTCCACTAGTTCTTAGTTGTTCTTTCTATATAGAAGTCCAGCAAGAGGCATCTTTCATTGGTCTATGTAGTGTTAGAATAGGAGGAAACCTAAACTGAACTGACTTTGTTTAAACTGGATATAAGCTCTAGAGGCCTGGACTCCCTAGACGGCTAGAGGTCCAGTAAGGACCAACCAAAATTTATCCGATATTACTACAGTACTGGAGAAAACCGAGGGTACACCGGAAGAAAGCCTACGATGCTTGGTAGAGTCAAACTGGAAGAACTTGTTGGCTAAAAAAATTGACTTTAAAAGCGGACTTCGTTATACTTATAGCATGTTGAAAAACTTATATCATGCTGCGTTCTTATTCAACCTCCCATTCACATGGGGTTAACCATAAGTCATGTTTGACGTCATTAAGCTTTTATCAACCGGAAGTGAACGTAATTGTATTGAAAATGTATTGACTGGTTGCGGTCGTTTGCGTGGGAACTGGAAATAGTGGAAATTATTGTGTGTCGCGTGTTTCAAATTGTTTCGAAAATTGAAAATAAGTTTAGTCTGTCTAGTCACTAAAACGTGTAATTAAATGTTGTTTTTCAACGGGAAAAACACACTAGCAAAGCAATTACGCTATAATTGGCAATAAAGACTAAATGAAGTTGTTGTTTTAAAATTGTAATGTCTTTTGACATATAAGAAAGAAAATATGAAGCGAAAATTCTCAGTTTGCCAAGAAAATTCATCTTCGCTGTTTGGTGTTTTCCTCAAACGTGAAGCCTAAATTTCTCAATATCAGTGTTATACCTAACTGGCCCTTATAGCGTGCACTTTTACATAAATCAATTTTTGAGCGAAGTAAACTCGAAACAATAGTTTGGACTAAAGACTGACAATGTGATTGAATTCACTGACAAAAAATCCGGAGTATTTTGACTCGAAAAGCGTGAGTAAGAATAATGCAGTTTAAGTAAAGTTATTTAAACTTATCAGGAAATTTACTCAATTGCTCATATGTTTGTGAGTCAAAATAATCAAAATTTTTTATCTGGTGAAGTTATAGTCAGTAACTCATTGCGGGCCTCGATTCAGATTTGACCACCACCACCGTTATCCTCACAGCCGTAATACGCATTTGATTGGTTAATTAAGTATATTAGGTCCATCCGATTGGTTAATGGTGATGGAAGTCAAAATCTGAACCTCGCGTGTGCGCTGAAGCAGCCAATCCGGGAAGTGCCTGTTCAACACATTATTTTTATTGGTGTTATTTTACCAATCGATTTCGTTCTTATCTGTTGCAGGTGTTGCAAAATCCTCACCGGAAAACACAACAAAGCTGCCAAATGGAGATAGGTAAACACCATGTCACGAAATGTTGCTTTGATTATCCTATAATCCTGATATAGTGAAATTGCAGCAATTTCCGCTGCAGTTATGTACCTAAACGCCTAAATATCTAGTATTTTTTGGCTCGATAGAACTGAATATTGAAAGGGTATTACCAGTGGCGTAGCCAATTTATTCCCGCTATGCAGATTGAAAATTATTATCATTGTTCATTTCTTATAGAAATTGATTGTTTTGACAGTCAATGAACACGAAAATCTCTTGGGCAAGAAGTTGTCTTTTAATAAATTATTTTCACTTTTCGTAGGCCAAGCGCCGATAAGCCTACGACAAGTACCGATCTTTTACGAGAGTTCTCCGACAACGGTTGCTATGGCGAACCAATCAGAAACAGTGTTACTCAAGCCCAGTTCAAACCACTGGCAAGGTATTAAGACGTGAATTACACAAGTAAATAAACGAAAAAACCAACTAAACTAGATCTGTCGGTTCCAGACTGTTCTCCCTACCCAGGAAGCCCGACTATGGCCTATTATCCATCCCAAGGCCGGATTTTGCTGGAAATAGTGGGGGAGGTGGAAAAAATTTAGGGGAGATCCAGCAGTCTAGCTCACTACCCCCCATAGAAAGTTAGGGCTTAGAACTGGCCAAAGTCAATGACGTGACGTATGCATGTAGTGTACATATGTATCAGTGTATTAATGAATCATGACTGTACAACTCATCCAATTTTGCCCTTCATTGCAATTACTACAAAGTTTTTTTCAAAACATTGCATTAAAAGTGTCATTGACACAAAGATGAATGGCGGCTATCACGGTTTCAATTTTACAGAAAAACTTTCTTACGAAGTGTAGACCCTAAGCAACCAAACAATGTCAAATTTTCACTTTGATCTATCATTGAAACTTCCCCAAGGGGAGGTGCATGACTTTTCAGGGGAAGTGCCAAAATTCTCTGGGGAGGTGCTCACCTCTCCACACCTCCCCTCAAAATCCGCCTGTGATCCATCCATTTGCATCGAAGCGGATAGTGGAAAAACGCGCGATGCGCGTTCTCACGAGGGAGGAAACGATCTCTCCTTCGCGCCGTGATATAAGTGTATGGAGATTATGTATTGACAGTTGTATTGATATCATTCACATGCGACTGAGACTAAATTGTAATGAGACAATTGCATGTCGTTGACGTGAAAGCATATGCACTAGCCACGCCAAAATATGGTGTACATTATTATAATGATTTGAATTCATTATCAGTAGATTGGCTCACAAATCATGTTTAATTAATTATCGGTTTTATTATTAGCCACGAGATTCCTCCACCGTTACATCAACGACGAACTTTACAAATGACAAGGAAAGAAAATGAAGGATTTGGCTTCGTTTTACAAGTACGTCAAATTTGAGAGCCATGTGTCTATCTCTGTCGATTCTTATATTGCGCAAGAATTAGGCAAGCATGTGACTATACAACATACAACAACAGCGGCAGCAACAACAACAACAACAACAACAACAACAACAACAACAACAACAACAACAACAACAACGACAACAGCAGTGGTAACAACTACAGCAACAACAATAACAACAACAACAACAACGACAACAGCAGTGGCAACAACAACAACAACAACGACAACAGCAGTGGCAACAACTACAGCAACAACAACTACAGCAACAACAGCAGCAACAACAACAACAACGACAACAGCAGTGGCAACAACTACAGCAACAACAGCAACAACAACAACAACAACAACAACAACAACAGCAAGTTGGCACAGATAAATGTATGATCAACTTACCTATTTCTTTATTTGTAGACGAATACAGTGATCCAACCTGGCGCTTACAGTGATTCGATGACGTTCGTTTCAAATGTTTCTGAAGATGGTCCTGCTTATCTGGCTGGTATGAGACCGGGTGAGAATATACGCTTCTGCTTTCTGCTCCAAGTACTCTGGTTTCGAAGGACCATAACAGTTTAGAACTGATAGAACTATGTAATATAAATAAAGTTAGTTTAGTTCAGGTTTCCTCCTGTAGTAACACGGATCCAATAAGAGATAATCCTTACTGGACCTCTAGGAAGGGCAGTTTAGAACTGATAGAGCTATTTAGTACAGGGTTCCCAACAATCTCGAACCATGAGCCTGCAATCTTCTGTGGAGGCTTGCTGAGGCTCTGGAAAACACCGGCGAATTTTGCACGAAGATCAGTACATTTGGATCCAGTACCCCGCTCGACATTTATAAATAAACATTGCTGCCGCCAAACATGAATTACGCCGTTGTTCATGCTTAATTATTACGACTTTAATTCTTCAAAGAACACTTGCCAGGGTTTTGACTTGCTTTAAGACACTGGTAGTGATTTATTTAACTTGTTTAATTACGGTAAGTCATGGATTGTTGTGTTGCTAGCCTTGAGAGTAATGCCGATTTTGGTATTAATAAATATTACAAGCAACGGCTTATCATGACTTTATATGGTAATGCTATCAAAATAGCCTATTGATTTCATACGAGAAGCGAAGGAAATAACTTAATAAGTTTATTAAAGTTATACTGTGTGTTTCATTGATATGTTTAATAAACTTCATATCAATTAAACTATCTTTGTCCTTTGAATCACTAAATAGACTCACAGTTTGAATAATAAATAATTAGCACGGAATCAGTGTAAAAGAAATGGGTACGAACAGTTGAAAAACAACCAATCGGAGCTGAATTTTCGCTGGTGTTTCCCAGAGCCTCAGCAATCGCAAGCCTCCACAGATTAAAATGGCTGGAATTTCAAAGGATCTAAATTTCAAAATCTTCATACGGAGACAACGTCAGACCTCCTTGATGGGCATTACCTTCGGCACCATAAAGCCATATATTTCTTTCAACAGCCTACTAGGAACTCCTCGCTTGGGTATTCTGTAGTATAAATAAAGTCAGTATTATCCTAACATATATTTCTCGATTTCCTACAGGGGATGTGATTATTGAAGTGCAAAACATGACTGTAGAAGATGAGCATCATCAAATGATTATAGACACTTTGAAAAATGCTGGTTTGACTATCAGGTTAGTAGGTATCTCAAACTTGGGATCCAATGTAGGCAGTATTCTACAACAAGCTACCGTGGTTTGCGTCTGAACTACGTGAAAAAGATATCTCAAACGTGGTGGTCCAGTGTAGGTAGTAGGCTATTCTACAATAAACTGCCTTGGTTTGTGTCTGAAGTACCTGAAAAAATATCTCAAACCTGGGGGCAGTGTAGGTAGTTTTCTGCCAACGGCTGTTGGTCAGGCAATCTGCAGCCGACTAAATCGATACTTTTAAACACTAAAATACTCAATTTCTGTTTGCAGACTTGTTGTTGTTTATAAAGACGCTATTCAACGCATGAGATTGTCAACCAAGATGTTAGCACTAAAGGTAGTTACTGTTCAATAGACCATTTCCGAATTACGCTAATACACCCTTCCGGAAAGTAATCAGCCTTGGCTATAGAGCCTCGTTTTCGTATTTGAGTTATCGGTTTTAGAGCCTTTTATCTTGTTACAGGTAGACAGGCGCTTTAAATAATTATAATACATGAAGTATTCAGGAAGGCAGGCGACGCGCGAAGGGGCTGTTGGGAAGGGTGCGTCCTGGGGAGCTGTCGTCTCGCATTTCAAGTGCACTCTTCCCATCAACCCCTTCGCCCTTCTCTCGCCACTACAGTACTTCATGTAAACTCGCCATATGCGCATCACTGTTTTTTTACAAAGAGACGCCTGGGTACGAGACAGAGGTAGACACATTTTCGAAATCATACAGGTAGGAACCGGTTATTATTTATGGCAGAGGTGGCACCAAAGAGGAATGTTTTTCTTGGACGATTTTTGCTGATCCGACCATTAAAGTAAAACCCAACCTCAGATATTAACTAAAAATAAATACCCATTCAGTTGTCGCACGTGTCCATTCACTTCTGTGACATGAGTTTGATAACTGCTTGTGCAATTTTCTGCAATCTAAAGTTTCATGTTCTCTGCACATGTACTTTCTTTGGAGACACCCTTTGCCTCCTGACAAATCGGAAAATAATCAAGATAGTGACTCTGATTGATTTGCATATTGTATTGTATTGTATTGTATTGTATTGTATTGAAATATGAATGTTGACATTGCTTTTTAGTCTTCAATATTTGAGTGAGTCATGCTTTGGAAATGATAATAAATTTTTATTACCGATGTTTTGTTTTTCATTTACCCAACCTTTTACTCGCTCATAATTTTGTTTACCCAACTCTTTTCGCTTCGGTGCCACCCCCAGCCATAAATAATGACCGCTCTCTTACATTGGATAATATGCAAGATCTTTTAGACAATTACGTCATCGGTAACAAGATAAAGGGCTCCAAAGCCAAGTCGAAGTACTTTCCAGAAAGGTCTATTGTCGGGAACAATAACAAATGTTAAATGTTAAGTATAGGTAATCATGCGATGTTGCTCGTACAATTAGGGATTAATAGTACGAGTGATGTTTGGAAATTTTGCCGAAATTGGACGAGCCGCCGGGGCGAGTCCAATTTGGCAAATTTCCAAACATCACGAGGTATGACAAAATTGGATACGTACTTCTCAATGTCAACATCATATTCTCTCCTCAAAGCCCAGTCCTGCCAGACTTTCAACCAAAATTTGGTGCTTTTTTTCGTATTTTCATTTAGTTCTTTTGCTAAAGCAAAATTTGCTGCTTTTGTTCGGATTTTCATCTAGTTCCTCAAGGGCAATTTCAGTTCACGTTTGTGTTTAAAATGCCCGTTTCCGCCATTTTGTTTGTTTTGGGGAAATCATTAATTGTACTGCAGTACAATTAATGAAATAATTGTACTTCTCTCGAGTCTCAACCAATCAGCATCCAGTAATTTTGTCATGCTAATAATAATAAATGTTAATTTGCTATCGAAGCATTATAGTTTAGCACGAAGCCTCGTTTTCACGCTGCTATATTGGGCATTCCACCGTTGGAAATGGATTATTGTATTCACTCTGCTGAACCCCTCGATTAGTTATCTAACTCTGGTAAGCTCGGAGCATTTTATGATGGAAAATTATTTGAATTTTTATAGGCTCGTCTTAGCGAGGCAGAAAAAGCTTACGATGAACTCAGTAAGAAAGAGAAAATGATTTTAGGTAAATGCTATCTTTTTTTCATTTCTACTTTAAAACTCCGGGGTGCACTGCAGTGTAACCTCTTTCGCAAGACATATTTCTGAGATTGTGCGGAAGGTGTCTGCTAGACTATATTTCGTTAAACAACTAAAACGTGCTGGCCAGACTTTTAGCCAGAAGGGCGTCCTGGGACGCTCCTAGAACAAAAGGTGGACGCCTCTGGACGCCCAAATTATGGGGAAAAGGGAAATTATTTTCAATGACTCCCTAAGTATATTAACATATTCGAAACGAAATAGCTTCAATTCTCATTATTATTATACATTTGACATTTTGATCAATTTGATGGTGTACCTGGCTGAATGAAAATGTCGTAGTTAAGTAAAGAAGCAATAGTGGCACAAACTCACAGACCCAAGTGTGTTTGAAAAATTTCAAACGAGGTTGGAAAGATACTATAGATACCCCCCCCCCCATAACTATAGATACGGTAGATCTACAGTTATGTGGATCTACAGTTATGTGGAAAATTGGACGCCCTCTTTTAGGACCCTGGCTAAAAACCTGGTGCTGGCTCTGCAGTTCGCGGAGACTATTCTATTTGACCTGCGTCCGTCCTCTGACAGAATATGCTTGCCCAGTCTTCCATAATTCTCTGCCTACGTACTTACCAGACGATCGCAAGAAGCTGCAGAAACTAGCACTTCGTCTCAGATTCATCGCATAATTAAGGTACATGCACTACTGCCAGAGCAAAATGAGACTAACGTAAACTTGAGGAAGAAACGGATGTGTAAAGACGGTGTGTAAAACAGACAGTTTTGTGGAAGAGCTTTTTACCAATGTACATGTATTTATCGGCTTTTAAAACACAATCCCTCTCTCGATCGCTCTCTTTAGAAATAACTTCGCGAAGTAAAAGGTTTAAAGTCTATAAATACCTGCCATTTTCTGCCACATACTGAGTAAATCACAGTCTCGCAATCGCAATAACAAAAAAAATTACTTGCAGCTTGAAAGGGACAGAACGCAATCTTCCAGGTCATTTTAGACAAATTCTCAATAAAAACTTGGTCTGTAGTTTTCCTCAAGTTATTTATTAAACTCTAAAATGTCCAACTGAAACTGTCTTTTTAATGGGATATGGGTTTTCGCATTCTTGTGTCTTTCATTCCTATAGTCCCAATAATTAAAATCCCATTTTCCCAGTCCAAAATTAGGCAAATCCCAGTTCCTATTCTACCCCTTCAGGTTCCTGTTTCACCTGTACAAATTTCTGTTACCACACATGATTACACTTCTGGGGTGCAGTTGTTCAAAGTTGGATTAAAATTTAACCTGTTATTTAACCTGTTATTTTATTTATTTTATTAAATTTAAAATTTAACCGGTTAAAATTTAACCTGTTAATTTAGTTTAAGTATTACTGCACGTCTGTTTATTTCAAAGAAGAAAACTCCTACCAATCCGGGCAAGATTTCTAAAGAAATATTTTCAAATTTATAAACAAACTGTTGGGAAATTTGCTTTGAATTTTAGGTTAAGGTTACTTCACATGATGAACGTGCGTTTTAGTCTATTGAACATGGCGCAACGAATTTTAGGTGTAACTTTACCAAATTTTTAGTGAAGAAAGCCAATAAAATGCTGATTTCGAAAATGGTGTTCTGTTTAAACAAGTCCAGTATTGGCTGACTAAAGAAATACATAAGTATCCCATAAAAAATTCAAAATATATTTGTAGTTTACCTCAACGTTTGTCTACATATATCGATTTGAATCTTCATAGGTACGGTAAAAAAAGGTGTGCAGAAAATTTCTCTTCTTGAATGGTTTTTCTGATATGACGTTTTCTTTGACAACTTCGTGAATTATCAGTGACAATCCAAGAATCAGGGCATATCAGAAAAACCACTAAAGAAGAGAAATTTTCTGCACACTTTTTTTTACCATGCCTATGAAGATTCGAATTGCGATATCTAGACAATCGTTGAGGTAAACTATAAACATTTTTTTATTTTTTTATGAAGGTACCTACATATTTACTCAGTCAGCCAATACTGAAAATGTTTAAACAGAACACCCATCAAATGAAAATTTTCGAAATCAGCATTTTCCTGGCTTTCTTCACTGAAAATTTGGTAAAGTTACACCTAAAATTCGTTGACTAAAACGCACGTTCATCGTGTGAAGTAACCTTAACCTAGGTTTAAGCTATAACCGGCTTTTGAACAACCGGACCTCTGCAGTACGCAATTATCTGTCACGATTCTTTTATCTCTCTGAGAGTGTGTCGTCCCACAGGCTAAAGTGGCATTTGTGACGTAATTTCAGAACCATCCTCAGAGATGTGAGCTTCCGATTTATTCTGACTCTACAGAGGGCACCGAATATTTCGTTATCTCGAGCGAGATTCTAACGCACATCTTCGGGTTTTTATAGACCGCCGCTCTACCCAGTGCGTGTCCTCCAAGGCGAGCGTTAAATCGTCACGAAAATATTTTGTGCACGTAAAATTGGATAGGACTCGCTACCAATCCCCGTTGATTCGATAGGCAAATAGGTAGAGCGGTGGTGTAGAAAAAACGAAGATGCGAATTAGATTCCCGCTAGAGATTCTAGTTTGTGAAGTGTGCCTGATTATTAAGACACCTGAACTGAAGATCAAAAAACAAACATGGATTAACTAAGGGAACAAAAACTTAAACAAAGTCAACAATGTTTGACTATTTACACCATATTCTGCTTCGTCAGGCATTTTATTGTATACAGAATCACATAAGTTGCGACCCCTGATAAACTCCTGAAAGTCCTTGAGTTTATAAAGAAGTGCTTGAAAGTCCTTATGTTCTTGCTTTAGTGGATACTTTCTGAAATTGTTTGGCATGAAGAAGTGGACATTTTGTAAATTGATTTTGTTCATGTCTTACAAAGGCCAAAACTGTTTGAAATTCATTAGAATTGCCATTTCAGCAGTTTAACGTCACTGTTTACAGATTTCTAACGTCTTCTTTTCAGCCTTTAGTCCTTGAATTTCCTTAAAAGTCCTTGAAATGCCTTAAAAGTCCTTGAATTTCCTGATACATAGCTACATAACATGCGCCTGAAAGTCCTTGAAAAGTCCTTAAATTTAACTCTTCCTAACTTGTACGAACCCTGATAAACACTTGGACCATCCATTTCTTCCGTAATTCTGTGAGTATAAAAACCTAAACTAGGCACTTGTCATTTCTAGATCACGTGAAAGACCCATCGGCTCGGGACATTAAGGTACAAATGGCGGTGGTACATATACATATTCAGGTCGCGAGCGCGACGTTCGCACGTGATACACCGGATGTAAAAAATTCCGTCGTTCAAACAAAACGAAC